GTCCACCTGCCAGGAGAAAGCCGCTACCTGACCCCCAGACACTGCCCAGTGATTCTTCTGTTTCTTCTTGTCACTGCCAATTCTGACCATGTCATTCTCTGGCTCCTGGCTGCCTACAGGAGCAAGACAAATCCTCAGTGTGGCCCTCCAGGTCCTGCACAGCCGAGCACAGACAACCGCACAGGCTCATCTCCAAACCTTCCCTCCACCTGCCGCTCTCTTCCTGGACAGCTCTGGTCTGCGTATCCTGTGTTCCCCGCACATGCCACCAGCTGTCCACATCTTTGTGACACAGTTCCCTTGTACAAAATGCTCCCCACCCTGAGCTGGCTGGTTGCTCAGTTGGTTAGAGTGTGGTGTGATAGCACCAGGGTCAAGGATTCAAATCCCTATTCCGGTTAGTTGCTAAAAAAGAAAGAATATTTTAAAGCTGGCCGGTTTGCTCATTCAGTAGAATTCATGGTTTCCTCCTCCACCGCCTGGCACTTTGCTGATAGCTCTAACATAGAACTCATCACACTCCCTGCTCATCTGCCTCCTCCCCAGCTAGCTGTGAACTCCCTGGGAGCTCTGTGGCCCCAGCACTGACCCTAGTGCCTGCCGCAGGCCAGGCACTCAAAACATGAATAACAGCACGAGAACGTTGATCCCGTCTCTGGGGTTAGGGTACCACAGAAGGCAATGGGTGTAGCAGACACCTGACCTCTGCTCTGTGGTGGCCCTGAGTGAGAACAGGGGCCTGACACCACTTGCTTTCGGGAGTGTGTTGATCCCGTCTCTGGGGTTAGGGTACCACAGAAGGCAATGGGTGTAGCAGACACCTGTCCTCTGCTCTGTGGTGGCCCTGAGTGAGAACAGGGGCCTGACACCACTTGCTTTCGGGAGTGTTTTGGAAATTGCATTGCTTTTGTCAGAAGTTGTTAGCCTGGGAGACCAGGCATGGACTTTAGGAGGTCTGGAAAGTCCTCACATCGCATGTGGAATACTGAGGTGTGAGTGGAGCATATTCCCATTCATGTGTTTTTCAGGGATGGTACCCACAACCTTCATGGGGTTTTAAATGGGTCTCAATCTCTGTTTTCAGGAGTGATGGCTTTTATGTGGCTAAAAGGTCAGATTCCTCTGGGTCTGATATTCAATCCAGCAAGTAGGGGATTAGTGTGGATTAGGCTGAGCTACAAATCGCAATAAACACGAAATAACTGAGGCTTAAATGAAACAGAAGTTCAGGAAGAGCCCTCTGGTCTGCAGACCCCATTATCACCACGGATATTCCCATTGTCTAAGCCCACCTCGTCCATACAGGATGAGGGGGGCACTGTCCTTGTACCAGGCTTGGCTCCTCCTTGCCTGGGGCAGGGGCGAGGAGTGGGATTTGGCTGTCCACTATTCAGGAGTCCCTCAGCCACTGAATCCTATCTGGGAGAATCTCTTCTCCCCCAGGATCCAAACACTTTCCTCCCCACCTCTGCTGGGTGGGGATTTTGGGGGTGGGACGGGGAGAATTCTTCGCAGTCACACTCCTGGGGTTGAGGGAAGGAGATGCTGCAAACAGCCAGAGTTTTCTCGTGGTTAATTCCTCATATAAACTGTTAACACAGGCTTTGGAGCAGAGTCTGCCGAGCGTCTCTGATGAAAAGTCATGTGCGACCGGCAGCATCTGTTTGCAGAGGCACTCAAAACGTACAGGGCAGCTTATACTCTCTATCTGGCTGCAGGGACCACCAGAAGTCAGTATAATTTTCTCTATTCATTTGCTTAGGAAACTATTTCATGGACAGTATAAAAGCAGCTTTAGCATAGCCAGCGTCAAAACTGACAGAGATTCTGAATTAGTGGAACCAGTTAATGAGGCTTTTATTGTAAAGGGCTCCAAAGTGTAGACTGTTTTTTTGGCTGGCCCCAGAATGGCCTCAGATGGCCCTAACATTCTGGTCCTCCTCCTTTACCAGAACTTTCCTTTCTTTTCCGAGGCAGACTTGAGTCCAGATATGTGTCAGAGGGCTGTGCTGGGCCTTTGTGCCAGGCTGTGGGTGGGGGAGCTGGGAGGTCCTGGAAATGGCTGCAGAAAGATAAAGACCAGCCAGGTGAGGACATGAAGGGGAGAGGGGGGTGTAGTCACCAGATCTGACCGATTTTGTCTTCTTGCCTCTCTTGATAAAGGATCCTTTAAAGTGCTCTTTGCTGGAGATTTTTAATCCGTCTTGGGGCCATTCCGCCTTCCTTTTCCCTTCCTTCTTCTTTTTTTCCTACAACCCTTCTCCTTTAGTCTCGTCATTTTTTTGCCCCTTCTTTCTCTGCCCTTTTACTACTTTGCTTCAGTGCTAAAGAGGAATCCCCCTGCCTCCCCTCCTGGACTGAAAGCTCCTTAGGGTTCCCTGCTGGAGCTCGATTCATGATTATTGAACGAATAATCAAATGGGCAAAGGAATGAATGAATGAGTGAATGGACGAACGGATGAGACTTCTTCCCCACTCACCATCTTACCTTTCGTAAACCATAACCACCCATTCCGGGGGAAGTTTGTGGCCACACTCTTGTTTCCTGAGTTCTGACCAAACCAACACTCTCCCACTGGTATCTGGCATTGAAACAAAGCAGGACTTGTAAAATCTCCTCTGAACCGACATCTCTTGATTGGGCAGCAGGGTTTTCTAAGTCTGGACCTTAGTATTTCCAAATTTTTAACGATGAGAAGCAGAGATAAAACAGAACTTCTCAAACTGCCAGAAATGTGGTTTGGGGGCAGTCTTCCGGAAGGATCTGTTGATCATGCAGATGGACGTCATAGTCCCTGGGCGAGCCCCAGATGTTGGTGAAATAATCCAAAAGCTCAGGCGGGGTTATTAAGGATTCTGTTTATTAAAAAAAGGAAAATATTACCAAAGCCATACACTCAAACAAGGACAAGTTGGCAGTGGAAGGGAGCAAATATTTTCAATTAGAGATATGTTTCCACACTCCCACCTGCATCCCCCTTCCTGCCGCTGCTCAGTTCCTGCCCCCCCCCCACCCTGGGGGGTTTCCATTGCATGGAATGACATTCTGTGGTCTCAAGTGTTTCAGGGGCTGAGGTGTCCACCATCACCCAGAAGTGTGATGTGCTGGGAAGAGGGCATGCTTCGGTGCCAGACCAACTGGGGTTCAATCCTGGGTTAAGTAGGAGGCAACGATTCCAAGATGGAAGATAAAGAAGTGATAGGAATAGAGCTGAGACATTCTGTTAAGCAGTGGACACTCCCCTCACTTCTTCATAGAGGAGGGAGAGTTGGGGAATGGGGCACCCAGGAGTTGCCCAGGACGCCCTCTATACTATGCATGCCCCTACCACGCTCTGCTGCCACCTTAGGAAACTTTCCTCCAGCACCTTCAGCTGAGTGAGAAACTTATATCCCCACCTACTCTGGGCTTCTTGTGACAAAAACCCAATTCAAACTAGCTTGAACAGAAAAGGGGATGCACTGGGGGATACCAAAGTAGCCCAGAGAACCAAAGGAAGAGCTGAACAGCTGGGAAGACGGGGACCAGGGTGGGTCCTGCATCTCCAGGGCTTGGAACACCACCAGTACTTCCTATTTCTCTCCATGAGGTGGCTTCATTCTCTGGCTTCCCCCAGGAGACAGGATGATGCTTTCATCTTCTCAGCATCATTGCCAGAGAGCAAAAGGCCTCTTGATAACAGTTGAAAAGTCCCAGGGAAGGTCTCTGATTGGTTCAGCTCCCATCTCATGCCCCACCCTGGACCAATCACTGTGTGACCAGAGAGGCAGGATCATGGAGAAAGATGGTGGCTCCCATACAGTCCACATGTAGGAATGGGACCTCTTGATAACAGTTGAAAAGTCCCAGGGAAGGTCTCTGATTGGTTCAGCTCCCATCTCATGCCCCACCCTGGACCAATCACTGTGTGGCCAGAGAGGCAGGATCATGGAGAAAGATGGTGGCTCCCATACAGTCCACATGTAGGAATGGGCTGAGCACATTTGCCCCAAACGGAATGCTGTTTCCAGAAGGAGGAAGAGGTATTGGGCAGACCACGTACTAAGTCTCCCAGTGGGGAAACTCATCTGCAAAGCTCGGTGGCTGGCTGCCTGCCTTTCAGAGCTGAAGGAAACCAAGCCCACATCATGGTTCTTGGGTAGGCACAATGGCATACAGGGAAATATCAGAGCATCTCAGATTGACAGTTAGGAAATTTTTTTCATCTATGATTCCAGCTTTTCCTCCCAAGGGTGTTGTGGCAGGTGTTTCTGTCTTTCCACTTCACAGACAAGAAACTGAGGCCCAAATGACTTGCCTAAGGTTATCCAGCAAGTCAAGAACAGAACTTGGGTCTCCTGATTCTGAGGTCCTGTAGGAAGTTTCTGCAGGGACCGAGGTAGGACTTAAGCTGGCTTCAGGCCCTGAATCTAGGCCTCCATCCAGGAGGGAAGAAGTGGGACACTGTCAGCAACATGCAAAGGCAGCCTGTCCATCTGCAGACGTTTGCAGAGTGCTCCCTGTGGGTCAGGCTCAGGAGCAGGTGCCCTCAGGAGCAAGTGTCCACAGTCTAATGCATGATGACCCCGTATGTGGTGGGCACTTGGCCTGAGTGTGGGAGAGGAGGGAACTGAGCAAGGGGGGATGCTCAGAGGAAGCAGCCTTTGAACTGGATCTGGAAGGGTGAGCTAGACAAGGAGAAAAGGGGTGGAGGAACATTATGGGTCAAGGTCACAGCAGCTGTGAAGGCGGAGGGGAAGCATGGGATCCCTATGTCCCCACCCCAGGAGCAGCCAGGCCTCTGCATTAGTAGTTTAACATGCTGATAACACAGGGCTGTCCTCTCAAGGTCAACCCCTGTCCTTCTGTCTCCCAGCAGCTTCAACACCATTATCCAATGTTGATGGGTTGAGTTCCTGCCCTCAGTAGCTGCATAATAACCCTGTCAAGCTCCAGGTACAGGTGTCAAAGACCTCTGGCCATGACATGCTCCCAATGACAGGCTCTGCTTCTGTTTCAGAATCTCGGCGAAGGACTATCTTCGAATACCACCGTGTGGAGCTGGACCCCAGCAAGGTCACCAGCAAGTCGGCTGTGGAGTTTACCCCATTGCCAAGTGAGTAGGAGCTGTTCCCACTGATGGGGGCATTCTGCCACCCTGGAAAGAGCTCTGGAGTCAAACGAACTGGGTTCAGGCCCCAGGCCCACCACTGACCCCTGTGGGGCACAGCTACCTAACTTTTCTGGGCCTCCATCTCTCATTTGTAACATGGGCTTAGTGCCGTCTCCCTCCCAGAGCTATGGTAAGGGTTAGGAACACAGAGGTAGAGCTGAACACGTAAGTGGCAGCTCTGACACTGACTGGTCCACCCCAGGCCTGGGCGTGGTTTGTGCTTGATATCTGACAGCTATTGCTATTAATACGTCATTGAAACCCAGGGAAGATGCACCTCTGAGAATGCTTAGACTGGGCCACCTGGAAAAGGTAATTCAGGAGCTGAATTGGTCCTTAGTTTGTCATTGTATTTTCCTTGGAGGAGGTGACACTGGAGGCCACAGGGAGCAGGCAATAAAAGGGTTTAGCGAGCAGTCCTTCGAGAACCATGGGTCTCTGGCCCCTGCCCCTACACCCCACTCACCTACAGGGGAAGGCACACCATAGCTGAGGCCCCCTGCTGCTGAGGACCCCACGGGATCGGGGTTGGATGCTTTCTGAGATGTGGTCAGAACAGCAAGGAAGAGAGAGGAAGGGAGGACAGCACTTCTATTCTTGCTTTTATTTTTTATTTTTTGGCAGCCGAAGAGTACAGGGATCAAACCCTGGACCTAGTGCTTTTAGCACCATGCTCTAACAAACTGAGCTAACCAGCCAGCCCCCCCCCCTTCTTGTGTTTTTAAGGGGGTTTTCATTTCCTCTCCCATGTCACGATATCTCCCAGCATCCTTCTGAAGCCACAGCCTTCTCCCTGCCTTTTGTGGCATTTCTTACCTCTCTCCCACACCCCCTTTCCTCTTCCCTGGAGGTTCTGGGAGCAGGGGGTTGGAGAAGAAGAGGAGGAAGAGGAAGGATCTTTTCAAATGCCAGGCCATGTCTCGGCCAAGGCTCAGCGGGTTATCTTCCCCTGGAAAAGAGGAAGGACCCAGACACCAGGGGGTCACAGGGTTAGGACACCTTGTAGGTGACAGTCCCACCCCCAACCCAATTGCCCTCCCTCAAGCAGGAGGCCCAGAGTCTGAGAAACAGGGGTTCTCAAGCAAGCCGCAAGTCCTAGGACTTGAATAAAACTCCATTTAGGAGCAAGGACATCCAAAGGCAGGGCTAAATGCCTAGACAGAAGCAGCGAAACATCCTGGGAACGCGTTTCTGGGACACTGTACATTTAAGCCACTTCCTTCCCCTCCAGTGAATTTTCTGAGCATTTAATAGCATGCAGGACATCTGAAATGCAGATGAGAAGGAAAGATCAGGAGGTGTTATGAAAACCCCATGAGGCTCCCAGGGTTTTTTCTCACGGTCAGTTTGACTGGAGCCTTTTAAGAGGCCTTCAGAGTCACTGGGAATGGCAAGACCAGGGCTCCCCATGGGTGCCCGTGTGGGTGCACCTGCTGAGAGAGCAGCAGTGCTGTCAAGACTTTAATTTGAGCCTCTGTGGGGCAGTTAGCTTTGTCCTAAGAAAACTCTCTGCACGCCCTGGCTTCTCCCTTACCTTTTGGCATGGAGGCATCTTATCCAAGATACTTCCAAAGGTGTGGGGGTGGCTTATCTCCAAGCCACCACACTCTGTGACTAGTCTCTCCTGGTCCCTCTTCTTGGAGAGATCCATGAAAAGGTGGCCTGGCAGAGGGGTGGGACCTGGGACGGGAGGAACCCACAGTGGGACCTCAAGGCTAACAGCTTAGGCTCTAGGCTCAAGCAGACTTTGGTTCCAACCCAGACCTCCCACTCTTAGCTCCGTGACTCTCTCCAGGCCTCAGTTCCCTCCTCTGTAAAATGGGGGTAGCAAGAGCATCTATACATCAATTCAATATACCATGTGCCCAGCACTGTTTAGACCTCCTGAATACGCCAGGGGACAAGACAGTCAGAGAACACTCATCCTCCTGCTCAGGGCAGCCCTGCTTGCTTCCTGCCATGGTGTTCCATGTGTAATGCCATGCTAGACAAAAGGATGTGGTGCCACCACTGCCGGCCCCTTCCACAGAAGGACTGAAGGTGCCGCACTGTGCCCATGAGAGCCTCTCTCCTACTCACCGAGGGCTGGTACCCAGCTGTCCTCTTGCTGGGGCTCCATGTAATGCAAACTGGTTCACTAGTTAATGGATCATGGTATTGTCCCATGAAAACATAAGAAGAAATACGTGTAATGTTTATCAAACGAGTGGTCATTTTTCTGTAGTTGGTCGTCACTTCTTGCTGCTATCAACATGTCCTGTTCAGCCGTTTGTAGGATGAGCTCTTATTTTGCACATTTATTCTGGGTGAGCACTGGTCTTTCTTTGCAATAAAATGCATGGACTTTGTGACAGCTACTTGACACTCAGAGGTCATCTGGTTCATGTAAGAGGGTAGCATTCGGTTGCAAATGAACAACTCTTAAAATCCAGCTCTCATCCTTCCTGCTCCTCTGGGGCTCTCTGCTGCTCTTCCTGGCCAGAGCCGGGGGGGGGTCCACAGACTCTCCAGCAACTGCTTCTACTATTTTCTCTGCTCCCTGACTGTCCTGCCAGGCTGGGCCCAGCTGTCGCTCCCTCCTATTCCTGCCACTTCCCACCTCTGCACTCTGCAGCCTCTGCATGAGGGCCCTCCTGCCTGGACTCGTCCCACAGGAGAGCTGCTGGCTCGCTCCCTCCCTTCTCTCAGTCTCTGCCCAGATGTCCTCTCCTCAGAGAGGCCTTCCTCAACCTCCCTGAGAAGGACCCATCCCCCACACTCATTCTGCCTCCCTGTCCTGTTCTATTTTTTTTTCCAGCCCTTCTCTCCCCAAGAAACCCTAGTGTAGATGTATTTGTCTGTTTGTCGGCTGTCTCCTCCCCGAGACTGCAGGCTCCCTGCGGGCAGCACTTCTCTCCTTTCCCCATCACCTCTGCGTCTCCAGAACCCGGGACAGTGCCTGGCCTCTGGTAGACACTTAATAAATATTTGTTGAATGAACGAGTGCTTCACAAGTTATTGAGGGGAATGAATTAGTCAATGGTCAATAACAAGAAGTAGCATTTAAAGTGAATGAATGAATGAACGAATGCTTCACAAGTTATTGAGGGGAATGAATTAGTCAATGGTCAATAACAAGAAGTAGCATTTACTGGGCGCTCCGCATGCGGCCGGCGGCACTGATAGAAACGCTCTCCAGGTATGATCTCACGCTATCCTCACGGCCAGTCTGCCAGCAGACCGCCTCGTGTCCCTGTTTACAAATGAGGTAACTATGCACCAAGAGGTTAAATGACTTGCCAGTAGAGACTTCAGCCTGGAACAGCAGAGACGAGGGCACACTGGCGTGCGGAGCTCCCGTCCCGCAGAGAGCCAGGAGCAAGGACTGCACGTGCCTGGTCAATCCCAGGAGCAGGCAGGGCGGCCCCTCCCCCAGGACCGAACGTCAGGAGGGGGCCCTGGGTGGGGGGCAAACCAGAGCATCTTTTTTTATTAATGCGTTTTGTTGTGTATAACTAAGGTATACAACACGATGTTATGGGTACATACAGAGAGTGATAAGGTTACTGCGATGAAGCAAATTAACACACCCATCATCTCACAGTTACCCATTTTGTTTTGTTTTTGTGGCAAAAGCAGCTAAAATCTACTCATGGAGCATGAATCCCAAATACGGTGCAATTTTATTATGTATAGTCCTCACGTTGTACATTAGATCTCTAGACCTGTTCTTTCTACAGATCTGCTGCTTTGTATTCTCTGACCTTTAAAAAAATCCCTTTTGGGGCCGGCCCGTGGCTCACTCGGGAGAGTGCGGTGCTGACAACACCAAGGCCACGGGTTAAGATCCCCTTACCGGTCATCTTTAAAAAAAAAAAACAAAACAAAACAAAAC